CAGGACTCTGAGACCATGACCTGAGCCGAAGGCAGCGGCCTAACCCACTGAGCCACCCAGGCGCCCCAGTCATAGATATTTTTTAACATAGTCATGATTATCTTCCCAGAAGTGTTACTGGGACACCACTTTGCCAGATTGTTCTCTGGATATATTCATAGACTTATACAGTCCTAGAGTTTTAAATTTTACAAATCACTATTTTTTGTTTTTAATGTCATTATGTCCAAACATCTTACCCTTGGGAGAACAGTTCTCTTAGGGTTTTGTTTTGTTTTGTTTTGTTTTGAGGATATTATTTATTTGAGAGAGAGAGATCATGAGCAGGAGGAGGGGCAGAGGGAGAAGCAGCAGCAGACTCCCCGCTGAGCAGGGAGCCCAATGGAAGCAGAGCTCAATCCCAGGACCCTGGGACCTGAGCCAAGGCAGACCTTTAACCACCTGAGCCACCGAGGAGCCCCTCTTAGTGTCCTTTTTACTCTTTAAAATCTTTTCTAAATCAGAATGGATATTTGTTTATTAGTATTTATGTGATGGAGTATATTTTTACTAGAAATTTTAATAGTGCAGATAAGGAGAGTTCCCCTTGATAAACCCTCCCCTCAGTCCTACTCTTCTCAAAGATAATTACTGTTAATCCTTCAGTGTGTGTGTGTGTGTGTGTGTGTGTGTGTATCTACATATGGAAAATGATACCTAATTGTACATTCTTTAGATCTTTCTCCATGTTAGTGTATAAACTGCTGTGTAATAAATATATCATCCTGTGGATGTAACCATAATTTAATAGTTTCCTTATTAATAGGCATTAGGCTCTTCCTAGTGTTTTATAGTAAAACTGTGCTGTTTAGTAATCATGTTCCTCTTAGGATATGTACTCAAGTTTCAAGTTTTTCCTTTCTAGTTAATCTAGAAGTAGATTATCTGCTTGGAGAATCTTTGCATTTAAAGTATTAAGAGCAATAAAGTGAAATAATTTGTGGATGACACAGAATTGCAAACTTTTCATTTTGTTAGGAAAGGGCTTAAAAAAAACCCACCATATATTGTTTCTATTATTTCATAAAAGGACATTTAAAAAAAATTTTTTTTTTTTTTTTTTTTTTTTATTTTTTTTTTTAAATATTTTATTTATTTATTTGACACAGAGAGAGAGAGAGATCACAAGTAGGCAGAGCAGCAGGCGTGGTGGGGGGGGGAAGCAGGCTCCCTGTGGAGCAGAGAGCCCGATGCGGGGCTCGATCCCAGGACCCCGAGACATGACCTGAGCTGAAGGCAGTGGCTTAATCCACTGAGCCACCCAGGCGCCCCTTAAAAAAAATTTTTATTTGGGGCACTGGGTGGCTCAGTTGATAAGTGTCTGCCTTCGGCTCAGGTCATGATCCCAGGGTCCTGGGATCGAGCCCCATGTAGGGCTCCCTGCTCGGCGGGAAGCCTGCTTGTCCCTCTCCCACTCCCACTGCTTCTGTTCCTGCTTTGCTTTCTTTCTCTCTGCTAAATAAATAAACAAAATCTTAAAAAATAAACAAGTAAATAATTAAAAAATAAAAACATTTTTATTTATTAATTTTTAAAAGGTTTTAATTATTTGTTTTAGGGAGCGAGAATTTCAAGCAGGTAGCTGAGTGCAGAGCCTGACTTGGGCCTGGACCTCATGACCCTGAGAGCATGACCTGAGCTGAAATCAGGAGTCAGAAGTTTAACTGACTGAGCCACCCAGGCACCCCTGAATATATTTCTTAGCTTTATGAAAATCTTACAGTTGTCATTATTTTTCCCATTTTACCATAAATTTTCACACACACCAGCTTGGATTAGGGTAGAATCTTGAGAAGCACTGTTGTAATTTATTCTTTTGCGCCCAAACAGGTAAATGTAAAGGAGTTACTCTTGCATTCTTTTTTAATTTTTTAATTTTTTTATAAACATTTAATGTATTATTAGTCCCAGGGGTACAGGTCTGTGAATCACCAGGTTTACACACTTCACAGCACTCTCCGTAGCACACACCCTCCCCAATGTCCATAACCCAACCACCCTCTCCCGACCCCCCTCCCCCCGGCAACCCTCAGTTTGTTTTGTGACATTAAGAGTCTCTTATTATTTTTGCATTTTTAAAAAATATTCTTAGTACTGAATTGACTCTCATGGTTGAGAAATTAGGTCCTAAGTACTGTCATCATGTTGAGTATGTGAATCCCATAAGTAGAAACCATGTTACTTTGTGAACCTATCACAGGAGCATACATCAGGTCCCAATACCAGGCAGAGAATCAGGCAGTACTGAGTACAGAGCTTTTCTTTTTAGAGGCTCAGGGCCTGGGGTCAGAGAGTCTGTGTTTGGGTCCACACTCTCCCTTTGACTTCATCAGCATGCTTTTTAACCTATCCAAGCCCCATTTTCCTCTTCTATAAAATGGTGATGGTAATAGTATATATCTCATGAATACTTAGAAGGATTAAAGGTATTGATGCTTAGTGAAGTTTCTGACTGTCGGAACGTGTTCGTTAAATGCTGGCTATGATCATGACATACTCATTGGTGTATTTGGCCCTTTCACAAATATTCATTGACTGCTTATATGTCAAACTGTGCTTTGTGCTTAGATTAGGAAGATGAATTCCTGCTTTTTAGGAGATTGGAGTGTAAATTAGAGAGTTTAACACTTAAGTGACTAGCAAGAGGTATTAAAGTGCACTGGGGACCAGTCATCAATTTTAAAGAGTCCTTGAACATTTGGGAAAGAGTAGGGAAGGGTATGGCAAGAAGGGAAGCAGGAGACTCAAAGAAATGCCCTTAAGTCAGATTGCGCTTGGTATGTTTGTGGTCTGGATTATTGTAGACTGATGCAGATAGAGCTTTAAGAGCAAGGATGAATGGGAGATTAGATGAAGCACAACATTTGTAAATGTACAGTCCGTGTAATTATTGTATGTATTAGCAGCAGCCCTTAGCCTATGGAAGAAGTCAAGAAGACTAGAGCTGCACTTTAGTACTTAGAAGTCTGGAGAAAGAGGAGAATAGAATGTTGAATTTTAGTGTTACTTAACAAGTTGGGGGATCCTGGGTGGCTTAGTCAGTTAAACGTCTGACTTAGGCTCAAGTCATGATCTCAGGGTCCTGAGATCAAGCCCTGCATCGGGTTCCCCACTCAATGGGGAGTCTGCTTGTCCCTCTCTCTGCCCCACCCCCTGCTTGTGCGTGCTCGCTCTCTCAAATAAATAAAATCTTTTTTTTTTTTTTTTTTTTAAAGCTGGTCAGAGGTGGTCTCTGGTGTCCTTGAGAATTCTTTGAATTATATGAATGTTAGTTTCTAGCTTTGATACAGGAAACCAGGGCATCCTGATTGAAAGGCATGCTTTCCTTAGGACATCTCTATTGCGGGTCTCATCCAAAGGAATGACACTATTCTCATGGTTTCTAATGGGATAGGGTAGGAAGATCAGGGGTAATATAACCTGTAGGATTAAGAGGGTCAAGTGGCTCATAGCATCTTACCCTATCAAAGCTGTCTACAGCCTTAAAGTGTTTGATAAATACAGGTTTGGGTCAAAGCCTTCTGATTCTTCAAAGCAGCTTTGTTGAGAATGAGCTGCTCTTGGAAGTTGTAGATCCCCAGAGACCAGGACAGGGAGCTTTACCTAGAAGACAAATTGTATATTAGGCTGCAGGACTCATGAAACCCTTGCCTGTTTCAGACGCTGACCGGAAAGGAGATTGAAATTGACATTGAACCTACAGACAAGGTAATGTATGGCCAGTACTTAATGCCTGTCTCCCTACATGCACATTTGTTTGGATATGCTGATGAACTTAGTCCTTTTTGCTTTCATGCTATCTGCATAGCTCTTGTTCTTTCCGCTTCCATGGTTCTACCCCTTAGCAGTCCCTGACTACTTGTACCCTTAAAGGTGGAGCGAATCAAGGAGCGTGTGGAGGAGAAAGAGGGAATCCCCCCACAGCAGCAGCGGCTCATCTACAGTGGAAAACAGATGTGAGTTTGACATGGATACTCACAAGGTGTAACAATCTTACGTGAGGTTGAGGGAGCAAATACTGGTGGAGGAGCCTCAGATCCTTTGGTGATTTGGTGAAGCCTGTGAATTCCTTCTCAGAATAAGATTTTTGCAGACATAAAATACATAGATTTACAAAAGAAACTATATTGAGATACAGTTCTCAAAATACTAAAAACATTTGTGATATAATATATGTGGTTTATTAATATGTTAAGATCTAATGGGTTTAGTTACCATTAATTTTGACCTATTTTCAAATTACTTGCAAACAGTTGTAATATGCTATGAAAACATCCAATTTCTTTTGTTAACCAGTTATGCATGTCACTAATACCACTTTGGGTTTTTTGCTTGTGTTCAAAATTAAATAATCAAAGCAATCAAAATAATCAAATTTCGGTTAAGGGTTAGTAAAAATAAAGATGTAATTTTTTTCTCATCTGAGCTCATAGATCAGGAAAAAGACTCAAGAAACCCAGTGTATGAATCCTGTTCTAGATGGTGTTTCTAAGGCCCCCCCTCCTTTTTTTTTTTTTTTGCCTTCTTTTCCTGCAGGAATGATGAGAAGACAGCAGCTGATTACAAGATCCTAGGTGGTTCAGTCCTCCATCTGGTGTTGGCTCTGAGAGGAGGAGGTGGTCTTAGGCAGTGATGGACCCTCCCTCCATTTTACCTCCTTACCCTGTCTCTCGAAATGAGGCATCATATATCCTCTCACTCTGTGGGACACCAGAGCCACTGCCCCTTCTCCTGGATGCCCAGTCTTGTTTGGTGGGAGACCGTGAGGACCCCAGGATGCAGGGTTCCTGGCCCAAAGGGCCCTTGCTGGCTATTGGGTTTTAGTTTGCAGTCCTGTGTGCTTCCCTCTCTTATGGCCATGTCCCTAGTTGTCAATAAAATATTTCCTGACCTCCTGGAATCTTTCTTGTATTGCACAAATATGACTGAAATTGAAATGGACCCAGTACACACTCATTTATACCTCTGAAGAAGTAGGGCAATGGGAGGGAATGTGCCTTTGGGGTGGGGGATTATGAGACTCTAGGAAAGTCTACTCTGGGTGGTGTGGAGCCAGTTCTTACCAGCTCAGAGTTCTAATAATTGGCATCTCTTCCCAACCCCATAAGTGATTTCATGCTGGTAGCTTTAAATTGGCCTCAAGTGGCAAATCAGTCCCTCCCCCCAAAGTGGTTGTTACACTCTAATCAGTATACTACCGATGTGGGTGGCAGAAACCAGGACAGTGAATTCTCTGCCGTTGTAGCCCTGCCGGACGTTTGGGCCTGGTTCGAGAAAGACCTTAAGGGCTTTACTGACACTACATTGTGGCTAAAATGCTGCACGGGGCTCGGTTCTGTATTTACAGAGAGGCAGATTTGGAGAAAGGCTGTGTGAGGAGTGACAAGCTATGGGTCACTTAAGTCTCAACTGATAAGGTAAAATGAGAGAGGTGCCAGACGAAAGGGCTCCCTTCTCTGGCTTCTCTAGTTTAGCCGACTCCGGCCAGGCTGGGCGGAGCGGAGGAGCAAGGGAAGAAGGTGCCTTGAAGCGGCTGGACCGCCGCGGTGCCCCCACCCCAGCTGTAGCGTGGGCACTTTACTGCAGTCCTCCCCGCCGTACCATCAGAAGGCGCTCTTGCGCAGTCTCCAGCCGACAGCCCGGCCCGGCTCGGCGACGCTGTAGTCGCGGTTTCTGTAAGGCAGGCGGGGCGGCTCGTTGAGCCGCCGAGAAGATAAGGCTCGCCTAGCCTCGGGGCGCGCAGCCTGCTGGCGCCCACCATGGAGCGGCTCCCGAAGCTGGCGGTCTTCGATCTGGGTGAGGGGACGGGACTGGGGAGGTTCGCAGGCCGCTCTCTTCCAAACCCCGGCGGCGGCCCCCGAGGCGCGCGCGCTCGGAGCCTGAGCTCTGCGTGCGTCCTCCCACAGATTACACGCTCTGGCCGTTCTGGGTAGACACGCACGTAGACCCGCCGTTCCACAGGAGCAGGTGAGGCGGCGCTGGGGAGGCCGCTGCCGGCCTGGGACTCGGGCCGCAGCTGAGCGTGCTCTCGCCCCGCAGCGACGGGGCCGTCCGGGATCGGCGGGGCCAGGCCGTCCGACTATACCCAGAGGTGCCCGAAGTCCTGCGACGGTTGCAGGACCTTGGCGTGCCCGTGGCGGCCGCTTCACGGTAAGGAGAGCGAAGAGAAAACGCTACCGGTCTCATGCTGAGTGACGCAGGCGGGGGAGGGCTCGCGGCACCCCGGGGCTAGAAAACCTTCGGCCGTGCGGATTTGCATTCATTTGCATAGCTTTGTAATTGTACCCTCTCCCGTGCTTTTAATAAACATTGGCTCGGCGCCGCCTGTGTTAGACGGGAAGGCTAGAGAGTTAAATGAGGACCTAGGATGCCTACCTGTCCTGGAAAAATAGCAAGTTGACTTCTCCCTGGTTAAATATAACTTGGCTTGCCGCTCTGGCTCCCCGGATCCCATCTATGACACCCTACTGCAGGACCGGGGAGATCGAAGGGGCCAAGCAGCTTCTGGAGCTCTTTGACCTGGACAGATACTTTGTTCATCGGGAAATCTATCCCGGCAGCAAGGTCACCCACTTTGAAAGGTAGGTGGAGATGAGGGTAGCAGGAGGGAGCCCAGAGAGGCTGAAGGAGCTAAGAAGCCAGCGGGGTCCTACCCTATCCCTCCTTGCACAGGTTGCAGCAGAAGACTGGAGTAGTTTTTTCCCAGATGATCTTTTTTGATGATGAGAAGCGGAATATCATAGACGTCAGCAAACTGGGTACTGAGTGGTGAGATTAGCCATTTGGGGAACGAGGAGAAAGGGTTCCTATGGGGGGTTAGGTAGGTGTGTGTGGGATGGGTAGTTTGCGTGACAGTATTTGGGTGACATCCAAAAAAGATGAGAGGAAAAACAGGCTTGATGAAATGTGGCTTCTTTTCTTCCTAGGAGTTACCTGCATTCTTGTCCAGAATGGAATGAGTCTTCAAACCCTAACTGAGGGACTAGAGACATTTGCAAAGGCCCAAGCTGGACCCTGAGGTCCAGTCCTGCGGCTGAGCCTCACCGGAGGCATAAAACGGAAAGGAAATCGGGAAGGCATTTCCAGATGTATTTGTAAATTATTAAAGTATGTTTGTGTGTGACAGAAGAGATCTTCCGGCTTGTTTCTGTTTGCCTAGCGATGTAGCCGGCCTCGGCTATGCGGAGGGGCCAAGAAGCGGAGGGCGTGGCGTTAGACTTCATCAGGTTGGGCCGGAGAAATCTATGGCGCCCCCGACTGTGCCCGCCTTGTGCTCGCCGCATCCGCACCCCGCTTGCCGAGCGCTGTCAAGAGCCTGAAGAACTCTTCCACTGGCGCCAAGCAGTGTGGTGCACGACCCTGCACACTCCCAGAAAAACAAATACTGAATTTTGGGGTGGGGGTGCGGCGGCCTTTTTAATAGCCCCAAGCGAAGCGGCGGCTTTAAGTGGCGCTAAAGGGTTGTGGGGAGGGGCGCCGCTGGCGGCTCGGGTCACGTGATAGAAGGGGGCCTCGTCGGCTCCAGTTGATGATGTCGCCGGGGTGCCCCAAGGAGCGATTGGCCCAGGCGGGCCTCGGAGCGCTGAGGCTGCACCCTCCCCGAGCAAAGGCGGAAGTCGCAGGACGCCGTGGGGCGGCGGCGGGAGAGGCGAGGGTGGCGATGAGTGGTCTCAGCCGACTCTTCGGGACGGGTGAGTGCGGGCGAGCCGATCGGCGGAAGGTTCTGGCCAAGGGGGTTGGGGGGAAGGCGGGGGCCCCGGACTGGCCCGAAAACCCCATCCGCTGCCCAGCGAGGCCTCCGCACGTGCCAGGAGGCTCCGCCTTGTCCGAAAGCCCGGCTCCGGCTGCCTGCCTTCCCCCACCCCGGAGAGAAGAGAGGGGGGCCGGCCCCGGGCGTGAGCGGGGGTGGGGGTTCCCCGCCCTTCAGGCTGGGGCGGTGAGTTTCCGCCTGTCGTCGTCCTGCCCTTTCCAAAACACGGGTGCTTCCTTTATGCTGGCCGAGGGGATCTGAGATGGTGAAGAAAGATTGCCTACTTAAAGCTCCTACGTGGTGGGGGAAGACAAGCAGAAACGGACATACACAGTGTGGTGTAGCTACTCCATGACAGAGATGTTCCCACTATCCGGGGAAGCACAGAAGCAGCGCGGGGGTTGTGATCCAGAAGGCGAGAGGTATGCCAGGTGGAGAACTGAGGGACTCCAGGAAGATGGCACTGTGTGCGAAACAGGAAGGAGTATGGTGTGTTTAGGGGAAAGGAGTTCTGGCTGGCTGGCTGGCTGGCTGGCGCGCGCGCGCGCGCGCGCGCGTGTGTGTGTGTGTGTGTGTGTGTGTGTGTGTGAAAAAAGAGGAAAGTAGAAGGAAGTGAGGATGGAGAGGTAAACAAAGGCCAGATTAGGAATGGCCTTGTATGTCTCATTAAAGTTTTGGGTTTTATCCTGTAGGCAATAGAGTCTGGAAGGATTTTAAGCAGGCAAGGGCCATCTTTTTTTTTTTCTTTCTTTCTTTTTCTTTTTTTAGAATAACTCTTAGAAGTGCAGAAGATGGAGGGGAAAATTGAGACCAGACTTTTTTTTTTTTCCTCTAGCCCCTGTACTTCATTCAGTTTGATCCTGTGGAATCAGGACCTTGGGCATCTCCTAGGACAGCAAGTGGAACAGTGATTATAAAAAGTGACCAAACTCTGGCGGGGATGTGATAATGGGACAGCTGTGCGTGTGTGAGGGCAGGGAGTGGGTGGGAACTCTACCTTCCAGTGTAAACCTAAACCGGCTCCAAAAAATAAAGTCTGTTATTTAACAACAACAACAAAAAGGCTTGGAAATGACTTGAAAGGCAGCTTGGAATAGCCAGCGAATACTGGATTTGGAAGCCACATTTCAATTCCTTCTCCATTCTTAGTAGTTGTGATTTTATATTTTTTTAAAGATTTTATTGATTTATTTGACAGACAGAGAGCACAAATAGGCAGAGAAGCAGGCAGAGAGAGAGGAGGAAGCAGGCCCCCTGCTGAGCAGAGAGCCTGATCAGGGGCTCAATCCCAGGACCCTGGGATCATGACCTGAGCCGAAGGCAGAGGCTTTAACCCACTGAGTCACCCAGGTGCCCCAGTAGTTGTGATTTTAAACAAACAAAACCACGTTAACATCTTTGTGCCTCTTTCCGTATTTGTAAACTGAAGATAGTACATTCATTGTAGAGAATCATTTAGGGATTGACAGGACCACCTTTGAGTGGGTAGCACACACTCTGCACTTGGTGACTGGTGGCTGATTTTTTCCCTTCACACAATATGGGCCGGCTTGGTTGGGACTCCAGGGAAGAAAGAGAAGGGGCCAACCCCTGAAGAGGCAATACAGAAACTGAAAGACACAGAGAAGATACTGATCAAGAAACAGGAGTTTCTGGAGCAGAGGATTCAACAGGAGCTACAGATGGCCAAGAAGCATGGGATCAAGAACAAGAGAGGTAATGGGATGGGGGAGAGGGGCCAACAGGGTGGGCCCAGGTAGGAATCAAGGGCTTCCAGCTCTGATGTTCAGGGTGTGTGCCACATCAGCCGCCCTACAGGCTTTGCGGAGGAAGAAAAGATTGGAACAACAGCTGGCACAAACCGATGGAACATTATCCACCCTGGAGTTTCAGCGTGAGGCCATTGAAAATGCCACCACCAATGCAGAAGTGGTTCGTACCATGGAGCTCGCTGCCCAAGGCATGAAGAAGGCCTACCAGGACATGTGGGTACGGGGGGAGGGCAGCAGGGGGCCCAGGCACTGGGGAAAGTAGCTTGTATTGTACTTTGAATCTTAAGACCTCTCAGAATGGGAATTTACAGTACAGATGTCTATGACAGCGAGATCTTTGTCAGTCTCCTTGCTTCCTGTAAGGTCTCCTTGCTGGCTAAGTCATTATAGGGAGGAAAGATGATTTTTCTAAGTTTTGAAGACCCTTCAGAGAAGGGAGTGCAGCCTGTCCTCCCCACTGTGGCTTCTTGCCAATCCTCAGGCCAGCCTTGCCTCCGTACAATTTCCCAGGGATCTCTTCTACCTGATGGCCATGGATTTATCAGCCTCGGGCCACAGGAGGTGGTGGGGTGGGGGTCTTCATTCAGGCAAGACAGGAGCGTTAGGAGGGTTGTTGCCTGATTTCTTGGCTGTGTGTCTTGTTCTTAGGGACATTGACAAGGTGGATGAACTGATGGCTGACATCACAGAACAACAGGAGGTGGCCCAGCAGATCTCAGATGCCATTTCTCAGCCTGTGGGCTTTGGAGATGTTGTGGATGAGGTGATTGGGAGTGAGGGGTCAGGAAATATGGGAGAAAGCAAGAGACCAGCCAGAAGGAAGGCCCGAGAGAATCATGGGGCAAGTTTGCGGGAGGAGAGGGACTCTAGAAGTGGTATGTTTTTGGAAGTACAAGTTCCCTTTCTTCATCTTTTTTTTTTTTTTAAATTAGAGAAAGCATGAGATCGTGGGAGGAGTGGGGTAGAGGGAGCAGGAGAGAGTCCGAAGTAGACTCAGTGCTGAGCTCGGAGCCTGACATAGGGCTCGATCTCACAACCCTGAGATCAGGGCCCTGAGATCACAACCCGATCTGAAACCAAGAGTCACATGCTTAACCAACTGCGCTACCCAGGCTCCCCCTCATTTCTTTAGGTTGAACAGTTTTATTGTTCCGTATCCAGGATGAACTGTTGGAGGAGCTAGAGGAGCTGGAGCAGGAGGAATTGGCCCGGGACTTATTAACTGTGGGTGACAAGGAGGAAGAACCCCCCATCGAACTGCCCAGTGTACCCTCTACACATCTGCCTGCAGGGCCAGGTATTCAGGGCTATTCTATTGTCTTAAGGACTTGAGGAGGTGGGATAGATATGGGGAAAGATTATTCCTCTTATATACTGCTTCAAAGGAACCAGGCAGAGAGGACTGCTGCTACAGTTGCACAGGTTGTTGACTGCATAAGGGCACCTGACTGAGCAGGAATAAAGACTAAAGTCCCGCTTGAGCCTCACTTGGCAAGCTGGGTACCCTGGTATAGGGCTGCAGGTACTGGGAGAGAGCAGCACATTCTCCTAATTAGTATGGGGGTGCTCAGAGAATTAGCAGCAGCTCACCAAGCTCACCAAGGACCATACCTTTAGGTTCTTTGCTGGGGAGACAAAATTCAGCAGACTCAGCATTCTAGCAGGGGATTGTTGGAAGTTGCTACGGCCCTAACACTTCTTTCTTTTCTGGGTGTCCTTTCCCTGAAGCTCCTGAAGCAGATGAAGATGAAGAAGCCCTAAAGCAGTTGGCTGAGTGGGTATCCTGATGAGTATAGGCTTGTTTTCCCGGTGCTGCCTTATTGGTCCCTTTTCCTTAAGTGCCAAGTGCTAAGCTAAAGGAACAAAGCCTTTTGGGGAGGTCCTGCTGAGGATGATAGTGTGACCTTGTGAAAAAGGGTTGTCGCCCTCCCCTCCCTGCCTCAACTCTGAAAAAGGACCATGGTGAGAGAAGCCCCCAGGCTCCCTTCTCTGTGATTGCACTTACGGTGCCCTTGTTGGCAATAAAATCGGGCAGATGGAACCACAGTGCTTACACTGCCTCGTCTACACCTGAAACTCTTCCCTGGCCTTTGGAGCTTTGTGTCAAGCAGTGAATCACAATGGGAGTAATGAAGGGAGTAACGAAGTATTGGAACAGGGAACAAATGGGAGTTGATATCTTGACCTCCTATGTTCTAGGTAGGTGCTGTTATCTTTCAAGTTGGTCTGTCCTAGAGGTGCTTGCTTAGTGCTGAGGTTAAGCACAGGGATTATATATCTTAGAACCATGCAGAGCTGTCTGAGTCTTCTGCCATTGCTTACCCCCAGTCATGCCTCTGCCAAGACAGCCCCATGATTTACTACTCATTTTCCTTTTGCAAAGTCCATTTTCAAGGACAGGGAGGGAGAATACAGGGTTAAAGAAAGAAGTAGCTTTCCTTTATTCACGGTCCATGATTAGTAGGCTTGGTTTGAACTGTCATTTTGGTGTCTTTTTGTTGTTGTTGTTTAAGATTGATTTATTTATTTTGAGAGAGCATGTGTACACAAGCAGGAGGGGCATAGGGAGGAGGAGAGAGAGAACCCCAAGCTGAATCCCTGCTGAG